TGCCCTGGCACCAGCACGGACACAGCCCTGCCAGGCTGCTGAGGGAGCAGGGCAGCTCCTGCTGCTCAGCTCAGCCCGTGCAGGGAGATGTTTAAAAGCCACGTTTGGTGTCTGCTCCACTCCAGCCAAAACAGATCCCACCTTTCTTTCCTCAGCCTGGGTTTGGAGGCAGTTTAGATTTATGCACAATAGAGCTTTGTCCTCTTAGCATTCAGAAATTCATATATGAGTTACATGAAATACAGGAATGGCATCTTCTTCCTATTGCTGGTTGGAAACCTGCTCCTTTCCTTCTCTAACCTTTCTCCCCTTTTATTAACTTGCTCCTACAGAATCTGAATGGAACACCTGAGTGAGGTCAAGGTTTTCTGGATTATTCTTTGCTAGACCTGTTGCCACAGAGGCTGCAGCATCTCAGGCAGCAGCAGGGGCTTGATGAAGAGCCAGAGGCAGAGACCACATGGCTCAATATGCTGGAGTTAAAGCCAGAGAATCTCCAGTTTCCAGTTCTGTTTCAAATAAATTCCTATTCCTGGTTTCTGCACATGCAAAAAGTATTACAGGAACCATCATTTAAATAAATCTCAGTTACCACATTTCGAAGCTCTCCTGCTTTTTGAAGTTGCAAAGAGTTATGAACATAGTTTTGAGTTTGTGTCTGGTTTATCTTTTGCTCCATTTAGTCTTATAAATTTAACCAAACCCAGGGAAGAAGGAGAAAAATCTGAATTTAATTTTTTTTTACCATGCCCACTGCGTTTGTGCAAATTTAGGGCTCAGTTCCCTAAACCTGAGCTTGGGACAACTCCCAGAGCCTGGATACACACAGGTCAGAATGGACTCAGGGTTTCAGGTGTGGCTCAAATCTCCCTGTAGGGTCTTTGCTCCTTCAGCTTCCCCACGTGCAGTGGCCCAGCTGTTGGTGAGACCAACACCACGAGTATCTCTGTAGTAAACATTCACACCCCTCCCTGGGAGTGGAAATGAGTTGAACCCCACAGTGTAAGGCCTTGAGCAGAGTAAAACCTTCCATCTTCCTTGGTTCCAATGTTTGCTCCCTCTGCCTGTAGCCCTGAGCTCTCTCTCCTCCTGCAGGGACACTGACCAAGTTGATCAGCTCTGGTGAGCATTTCCAGCAGCTCTGTCCGTTGTCTGTCAGCATTCCCTGGGTGACTCCTCCCAACTAACTCAGCTCTTCTCCCTCTTTGTTTCTCACTTGCCTGGAAATCACCAGAACTAAGCTGGGGGTGGCCAGCACGAGCTGCTGGGGTTGGATCTGTGTGAGCAGCCCTCTCTCCTCACAGAAAAGCTTTTAGGACTTGGCTTTTGGGAGCTTAACTGGGATGTGGCTCAGACTAACACTCACTGTCAGTCCATGTGTGCACTGCTCACTGACAGGAGACTGTCCTGCAAGTTTTATGCATTTATTTTTGATCATTTCCCTTTTTCCCCCATGTTTTTGGGAGAGGGCCACATGTTACCAAACAATTCCAGTATTGCTGTGCAGGGTGTTGGCAAAAACCTGGCACTTGTTTTAGAAGGACTGAAAATCCCATGGCTGGAACAGGTGCCACAGAGCTGGTGGAGGGTTAGGATAACCAAAACCCAATGAATATCTGTGATTTGGGATGAGGAGTGTGGCTTTCAGCCCCCCTATCTCAAACGAGCAGCATCCCTTTTCCAGCCTGTTTTTAATGTCTCTTTTTAATCTCTGAAGCAAAGCAGGGACCACCAGCATAGAAGGATGAGCTGTCCAGAGCTTTCCAAAGCAGTGTCAGAGCACCATTGTCTAGGATAAAACAACAAAAACCCCAGCATATGTTAGGAATGGTGAGCTCCAACAAAGAGATCCTTGTTCGAATCCCTCTGGTTGGCTTTCCCCTCATCCATCAGCGAGCTACTCTGGGATAATCATTCCCTGAGCAGGGAGATGGGGCTGTGGCAGCTCTGTGGCCCCTCCCAGGGCTGTTCTGGCAGGGGTTCCAGCAGGGCCCTGCAGTCTCCAGAGCCTCTGCAGGGGTTGGTCCCTGTTGGCCTTCCCATGCCAGGGTTCCAGCTCCGAGGCCCAGAGCGCTGTGTGGAACTGAGGAAATGAGCCCACTGAAGTGGGAAATGGGATTTCTCTGCTGTTTCTCTCCCCATCAGTGACCAGCAGCTGGAAATCTCCTTTCTTAGCAAGGAAGGATTAATCAAAGCTGCTGGGTGTCAGCAGAATTCCCTGGCAGTGTTGGCAGCAGCAAATCTCCAGTGCGGAACAGCAACAGCCCCAAATCCTGATGCCAGAGAGTTAATGGAGAGGGCAAACCCAGGCCCCTGGAGTGCTGCTCCCAGCTCCATGTAGGAATTGAGGAGGTCAGGGCACACAGGGCTCCCAGGATTTGGGGGGTTTGCAGAAGGTAATTAATGACTGAGCAGTAACGAGGTGCATGTGCCGGTGCGGCTCCGCCAGTGCCGGGAATGCTGCGCGTGCCCACCTGTGCATGGAGCACCTGCCTGCCCAGCCCGGGCTTTGCATGTTCCTCCGTGCCTCAGTTTCCTGCGTGCAGGAGTGTGGCACTTCTGGGGTGGCTGTGGGGGCACTGGGAGGATGGCAGCGACCGAGGGCTTTGACATTTCCATGTTTAAACCTTTCCAGCTCTGAGCAGTGTCCGGCCTGCTCCCAGCACTGCCCCATCCCTGCTGTGAGCCAGGGCTGGATCAGCTGTGTGAGCAGGGCCTGACCC